AAAAAAAACCTCACGTAGGTTTAACGCACAACACGAAGTGACCATAACGAAAGCTTCTTCTTCTCAAATGCTTTGGTTTGCCCCATGACCCCATTCACAGTAGTTGAAGGTTTTGTCAAAAGTGTGTAAACTGTGCTAAAAGGTGTAAACTCACTGTGCTCTGATAAAATATTTTTTGCATTTATTTAAATCTTCTATTTCTATCGCCGTTTTTGCTAAGAATAATCAAAAACCACGATTACATGGGGATGGGTCGAAGCTACTTTACCACAGATGATATATTTTCCACAGGTTATCGTATCCTGGTTCATCGACGGTTTTCGTGTAGTAAATTTGGAACCATGGATATGATATGAGCTCTCTAACCAAGAATTCAACATCGCCTTTAATCTTTGTGGAGCGTCTGGTGCGTTGTTAGGTAGAGAATATATTTTTGAAATTCTAGTTTACCTAAAGGATGAGGCGTTCTGTCGTTAGGCTTCCTAACTGATCTGACTTCCTTCAGTTAACAGATCGATGTCTGAGTCATAATTTGTTGTTTCGCCCAAGTAGCTGTTTCATCTTCATGAAGCTAAGGCTCACCCTCATGGTTGCCGCGATAAATCTATTGCTTGTGAGAGGTAGAAACTTTTGTGCGAGTGTTTCGAGATCATGGCAGAAGATTGAAACTGCCTGAAAAGAGATGACTAGTCTTGGAAGCACAATAGTTTTGCTCCACGTTTCTTCTCTTCATTTCGTTTATTCTTCGTACTATTTGCCTTCCCTAGCTCATCTCACAAACCGGTGCTGAATCTAACAACACCGCTTTGTACCAGTGTGTACCCACGTGTAGTTGCAGATCGTTGACAATTGACGATGATATTTACTGGCATTCGTAACAATACGTAAACTTTTCGCCCATAGTCGGTCCAGTGCACAAGGTGATACTCCAATTATCGAGGCAAGGATCGAGGCACGTAAAGGTCAGAATGGGCCGCATCATCGGCCACTAACAACAGTAACTCATCGCACTACAACAAGGTGCTTATGACCTAATGGCAAAAAACATTCTATTCCTAGAAGTGAATGGTGGGATTACTAAAAATTAGTCATTACAATGAAAATTATGAAATCTATCTAGACACACCGACATTTTGCTCTCATGATGTTCCATTTGTTAATTGTTTAATATAAGGCCAAGTGGAATAGCCAAGTGGATGTCGTATGAGAGATCCTTTTTCTATTCTGAGCGCAATAATCGAATTCTTACGTCTTTTAAAATTGTTTATAGCTAAAGACATCCATAGGCAAAATATGGGGCAGATAGCAGTGGTAGTGATGTCGGTCATCACGAGCATGGTGCTAGTTCGACTACGCTCCGGACCAACCAAGCTTCTCATCCATCCGGGGTCGGAAAATTGAAACCGGACTCGTCCTGGAAAAAATCACTCTTCGTAGTCCAATTGGGAACAATCCAGCTCGACTATCTCAGGACTACAAGGAAAATCGACTCGACCAGCATTCTGCGACATTCGAGCTAAAATGAAAATCCTCAAGCAGGAGCCCAAGCCGCACGGTAAAAGTTGGGAGATCTTCATGGATAATGAATGCGAAGAAACGAGTCGAATGTGAGAAGTGCAGGGATCCGCACAGTAGGCGTGAGAAC